TCATCTTCCTTTCCTCACTGTGCCACAATTTCAGTAGGAGTAGAGAGATTGATAAAAACCTCTGGCAGGATTTAATTGGGTTTGGTAATAGAGGTTCAGGATATGTTGGATTGTCACTGCAGCAAAATATTATACTGTAAAGATAAATGAGAGAGAAAAGATGAAGTGAATGTAACAAACAAAAACATTTCAACTTTGTCCTCAGGAGTTGTGTTTCTTGGGAGAAATCATTTGGTATCTGTCTTTGCTTTCAGGATGAGCGTGCAAACAATCAGAAATGTTTTCAGTGTGGAAACTGGTTACCGCCTTTCTGATGACCAAATTGTCAATCATTTCCCAAACCACTATGAACTGACTAGAAAAGATTTGATGGTAAAGAATATCAAGCGATATAGGAAAGAACTTGAGAAAGAAGGAAGTCCTCTAGCAGAAAAGGATGAAAATGGGAAATATGTTTATTTGGGTATGTGCTCTCACTATCAGCATTGATCTTTTTTCCTGTGTGTCAGTAACCTGGAATTGAGCTGGCTGTTCTGCGCCTAAAGCACCGAACCTCTGAAGTGTCAGAACATTAAAGTGACTATTTTGAAATGCTCTGTCCCAGTCAATTAAGTAAAGTGCACTTTATCCTAAAATTGTTTGCTGCATTCTGCAAAGCTAACAGACTTCTTTCTCTGTCTTCTCCTCCTTTTCCCTCCCTTCAGATCTGCCATTAGAGCATAAGCAAACAAAAGAATAGGGGAAGTGATAAAAACAGTAGTAGTGAACATTTCTTATGGCATATTACATTTTCAAAGCTTTTCACAAACCTTGCTTTGAAGGATAATGGCTAATATTTTACAAATTGAGAGGAATAGAGGGGATGCCACTTGTTCAGGATCTTTGTTGAAATTAGAGACAAGCAGGAATAAAAAAAAAGATTGAATGTTTCTGTTTCCTTGTCTCATTACCACAGCATTAAGGTGGAGTTCCTCCACTGTGTACTTGCTAGTATTCAGCAGTATTCAAGGAGGAGCACAAATCCAGTTTGTATGCATGCAAGTTGTATTTAGATTTAATTTTATAAGATCCTTAAAGAAGACTGAATTTAACAGTGCCACATTAGCTGAAGCAACATTGGACGAAGTGATAATGAGATTATTATTTTAAAATGTAAGGATCCAGAAATAGATTTGTAACTAGGCTTTTTCTGTTAGGTGGGAGTCTCAAGGAGGTGACAGGTTGGTTGATGGGGTTTTTGTTGGTTTTTTGTTTGTTTTATTTTTTAAATTATTTTGAATGAGGAAAACTGTGGGATTACGTTACTTTGCAATAAGGTTAGTGGTGAAACCAGAGGGGTCTGAAACTTCATGTGAGACAGGGTTGGAGTTTCTTTAATTCAAAAGTGAAAAAACATTGTCTGAAAATTTTATATGGGTCCGAAAACTAAAATGAACTTTTGCAGAAAGGCTTTAGACAGAACTGAATGAATAAACTCTTCAGAGAAATTTGGGGAAGTTGGGAAAAAAGTCATGATAGCTAGAAAATAAAATTTAAAAAAAAACCCCAACAACCCAAAACCCCCAAACCAGCAATAGATCAGGAATAAGGGGAGTAAAGTTGTTTTGGAGGTCAGAAAGCACTGGAGTGAAACAGAGTTGGGAATGTGTTGAGTGGATTTCATCTTGGGAAAGTAAAATGAAAGCACTGTTAATCCACCTAAGAAAAAAGCAGTTCTGTATGGATGGAAGTGGGGATAATCTGATAGCAGAAAGCGAGAAATGCTTTTCTTCAGATTCCAATAAGCATGGTAATACTGATTGTGGGAGCAAATAAGAAGGACTAATGAGAGTAACATGGAAATAAGATTACCACATCCAGAGGGGAAGCAACATCAATGCTTGCATTTTTGCATGCACAGAGGATGATAAGGTGGTTATCAGAATGATAAAAGCTGACATAGGAAATTGAGAAAGTTTGATAAAGTTATGTTGGAATGTTATATAGTTCTTTAATTTCACAGCACATAAACAGAAGAAGAAAATTGATTTGTGTGAATTAAAATCTATAAATCTGAAGTTAGCAGCAATTGCAATTGTTTGCTTAAGTAAAAACTGCAAACTAGAATTTAAACCAGATAAAAGCAAAATGAGTCTTAATGAAGGTGGATCATGCCAGCCTGGAAAACTGAAAAGGCAGAATTTTTTTTTAGTCTATGTATGTCAATAGCTTTATCAGGTATAGTGTCCTTAATTGTGCACCTTTTTTTTTTCCTTAACTCAGATTTTGTTCCTGTTACTTTTATGCTTCCTAATAATCTCTTTGTTGAAGAATTCAGAAAAAATCCCTCCAGCACTTGGATTATGAAGCCTTGTGGCAAAGCTCAAGGAAAAGGAATATTTCTAATCAATAAACTCTCCCAAATTAAAAAATGGTCTCGAGATAGCAAAACATCTTCGTAAGTTCTTAAAACCCAAACCCTTTATTGTACTTTCTGTAACTAAGTGAACCATATCGACATGCTAATCGTCTGATGCATGGGAAAAGTATTTCATTATTATTGCTTTGTCATTATATAGCTAGTTTTGCATTTGATCTCAGTTGTTATCTGACTTCCTCCTTCAAACAGGTTTTAATATGATTTGTTTTGGCATGAGGAAGTACAAAGAACTGTTCAATTAACTATTCTTTATAAAAATACTTTCAGTGTTGTTGGGGAAAAAATTGCACAAAAATAAGTTGTTCTGCTTCATAGTATTAAATAACAGGAAGCAGGAGAAAAATCTTTCCCTGAGAAATTTCAATAATTAATTTATTTAATATATTAATTCACTTTTAAAATTAGTACAAAGGAAGAATGCATTTATATGACATAAATACATTATCCATTTGCCTCATGTTGGGGTATTTTTGTGACACTGGTGTATACGTCACATGGTGACATAGACTTCCAAATGGATGAAACAGGTTAGCAATCTATGTTTTTCTCCAACTAGTAAGAGTTCTGATCACACGACTAATGTTAATTTTTTTCCTATTATAAAGTGACTGTCTGAATATCACTTGAGTCTTTTTTTTTTTTTTTCTATTTGACTTGGACTGTGAAGAGTGTCACAATCTGAAAGTTATTTTAGCTTTTCACAGTGGTTTGCGATTGCACACCAAGCACAAATACAAATATTCTAGGAATATAAGACCTTGACTAATGAAGGTAATGTAATACGTACTGTTTGCCTGTCTGAGCCATGCCAAGCCCTAAGTGCTCTCCAGGGAAAAGAGGGGCTTGTAGAGCTGCATTCTGAATGGCTGAGTCAGTTACTCTGTTAACTTCAAACCTGAGTTTAAATGGTTAATTGATCTTGGTCATTTGTTTAGTATTTTTAACTTTTTTTGGTATGTAATGCCTGGAGCCAAGTGTGTATTATTACCCATGACAATTTTATACATTGTCTTGCCAAAAGATGCAAGATTTCAGTCAATCAAAAATTTACAGACTGCTTCTAAAGAAGAAGATGATTTATCAGATTAATCTTTGCAGTTGCCACATTCTGAAATATGATTTGTGTTTTTCAGGTTTGTATCTCAGTCTTCCAAAGAAGCCTATGTGATTTCTCTCTATATCAACAATCCATTACTTATTGGTGGAAAGAAATTTGATCTTCGTCTATATGTTTTAGTATCTACATATCGTCCACTGAGATGTTACATGTAAGATTGTATATATTTTTGTTTTGTTTTTAGAGAAAGTTTAATGTAGTCAATATAATGTTGCGCATGTTGCACAAAGAAGTTTAACATGTACATGCTGCCTTAGGATGCTCTTTTCCTTATTTCTTATGGGAGTTTAACACATTTTAATGACTTTTTGCATTTAAGGTATAAACTTGGATTTTGCCGATTTTGCACAGTAAAATATACACCAAGTACAAGTGAATTGGATAACATGTTTGTACATCTTACAAATGTTGCCATTCAGAAACATGGGGTAAGTGTACTGAGTTCTCAGGTTTTTTTTGTAGCAAGACTGATTTTCTTAAGTTGTCCCAAAAACTTTGAATAAAAAGGTTTTATTTGTCATATTCTTCATCATCTTGTAATTAAAATACTTCAACTTGAACTTGCAAATAAATAAATTTCAGAAGACTGTAGATCAAAAATATGTGAGATAACGAGTTGCAGCTCTGTAACAGACTGATATCTTCAGTATTGGCTTGCAGTGGTTGAAAGCAGTTTTTTTTTTTAAGTCTCCTGTCATTTAAATGCTAATATGCTCACTTAGCAGTTGATTATGTGAGCAGTGGAATTAATGAAGCCTGGTTCCTGTGGATTTGTATTTTATAATAGCACTTCTATATCGCATTCCTGATCTCCCCTTCCCTCTCTCTCTGCCATGCAGTTAATTCGGCTTTTCTATTTCCACCACTTATTCATCACAGTGCTTTCCAGCTTCTTACGATGTTTCCTCCCCACCCCCACCTTCCTTCTCTGGGAAGGAAAGCAAATGTGCATGGAGATAAATGTTTGCTACCTGGCCAGCTGGTGGTTTCCTCTTGAATGGACAGATGGAGCTCTGCCTGAAGAACAGTTCTGTCCTGTAATTTGCCATTGATATTAATAAAATATGTGAAAAATTGATAGCTTTGACAGCACTTCCCTATGTCAAAAGAGGCTGAAATTCACCAGTGGGAGGAAAGGCTAGTGAGTCAGGGGTGACATGAACAGACAGGCGTACACTGTCACTGCCCGAGCCTTGTTTCTTCAGGGAATCCACTTGATGATGATGGCTGTCCCTTTTGCATTTTTACCAGATGTCTGTGATTTATAAACCATGCCTCTGTTACAGTAATTAAAACTCTATTGTCACACTTCCTAATGTCATAGGTGTTATTTTAAGAGAATGGAAAATAAACGTGTATGTACATACACGTACGCATACACTCATGCATATGTATTCATAGGTGTATACACATACACTCACACACAAGAAACATATAATGTAGCTTAAATTGCAACCTTGCTAAATGTGCTTTGTATGTTCCTGTTCTGTAAGATGTGCGGCATAGCAGAACTGTTTTTATCTGGATATTCCTGTAACAACAACGCGAATTATAAATGTCACTTATGATGGTAGTTATAAACCAGGGTAAGTGTCAAAATATGGCATTTTTCAGTACTACAAACATTTTCTTGCTCAGGTGCTGATTTGTGAAGCGATTCAAACACATTATGGTTTGACAGGGCACACTGAGAATTAGTACGGGTGAAAGCAGATCCCATATAACTTAGAGCATAAATCATGCTACTGCTGTTGCCCGTAGCAGTGAGCAAGTGAGGCATGTGATATGTTGCCTATCCTGTTGTTATGCACCCTTTAATCTTTTCTACTAGTTAAAGAACGGCCTTCAAGATTTCTCCCAAATAAAAGTAGAAGTGAAAGTAGTGGTGAGGTCACTTTGAGAGAAGAAAGGACCCAGAAATGGATATAGAAGTAGCAGCTTAAGAATGTGGACTCATTACTACAGTACTTGAAAAACTTTTTAGAAGTTCTGAACCACTATTATGTGTTGAATTTTGCAGAAAGATGTGAGAAGAGTTTGATGTAAAGCCACACTATCTATCCTATCTGTCCTATTTTAAATGTCTGTAACTTCAGAGGCACTTAAGGTGTACGGTTTTAGAAGAAGAACCTAATTTGAACTGTCAAGTGATTTATCAAAATTATTATGAGGTCTGGAAAAACTTTTAAGTTTTAGCTATTAATCTCTACTCTAAGCCCTACATAAACCATAGAGGTACAGCATGTTTGTACTCTGCAAGCTCATGGGAAACATCCCTAATTTGAATAGTGTGCAAATCAATACTGGGGAGAAGGAAAGGGTAAAACGAAGGAAGAAGAGTAAATCAGTATACCTATCATAATGTTTCTGCTGGAAAATAACAGTTCTATGTCATTACTCACTGCATGGGTGATACAAACAAAGCAACAGTAATTCTTCTACTTAATTATTTTCTGTTAGTGATCTTCTAAGTAGCCAGCAATATTCTGCATTGTTTTAATATGCTTAATTAAACAGCTGTGGTTGTGTAAAGCTCTACCCAGTTGCAGTCTATTTTTATTTAAGTACTTGTTCTGAAATGCAAAGAGAGTTGAAACTTTGATCTCATTTCCCTTGCTGCAATCTGGTCTCAAGGCATTTTATTCCATGCAGCAAGTCCTGAGAGCCATGTTTCAGATCTTTATTTGTACAGTCCACTTTTCCAAATTTACTAAGGGGGGAGCTGTAGAAAAAAGCTTAAAAATAGATAGAGGCTTCTCTGACCTTGTCTTAGAGGACAACAGATATCGTTCCTCTGACAACTTTTTTCTGCTCCATGCATTCTGAGTTTTATTATTTAACAGGCATACAATCATTAATTCTTAGAGATGCTCTGAGGAGAACCTTTATAAAGGGACAAAGCATTTGTTCTGAGAGTTATTTGAGGGCTGAATGTGTGTCTTTCCATCAGCAAGAATACCCTCAGTTTTGCTTTTGTCTTTCCATTTAAAGAGAATATAGTGCAGAGCCTTCATAGCCTCTGAAAAGACAAATAGAAGGTAACCTTCTTTTTCCCCCTGTTCTGTTTTAGTAGCACTTAGTCGTTTTTTTTCTATATCAAAATACCAAATTACCTGGAAAATTAACCTTTAAAAATAATTTTGGTTTCATTTCATTGTCCTCTTGAATGCAACTGTTGTCAGTAGCACCATTAAGAAGAGAGGGTGTTTGCCTTTCGGGAAACAGACAAGTAACATTGTAAATGAATAAAGACAGTCAAGCACTTTCAAGTGCTGCATTTTAAAATAGCTAACTTCAGTGAAATTTAGCTATTGCTTACTTTATTATTTCTCCCTTATTCCCAGAGGAGGAAAAAGTTAAATTCTTTCCTTTCATATTTTAAAACTTGCATTTCCCAATCATAAATTATGTTTTACTATAAAACTGTCAAAGTAGTTTTTATCTTCTAAAAAAGATTTATTACTTGATTTGCAATGTGTGATATGAACATATACAGCTATAATTAAAAAAGTTGTTTATATAGAGGGCAGTTCAAAGTAAAGCTGAAGTCTTCATAAAGCTGTAAAATAGACTAAAAGCAACTTGCTGCATTTGTTGTAGAGCAATGCTTGTATATACGTCGGCTTTTTGTGTGAATTAAACAAAACTGCTGAACCACTGCAAAATCTTAGACTGAATTAACTCCTTAACTCTTCAGGATGATTACAATCATATCCATGGAGGCAAGTGGACAGTGAGTAACTTACGCCTGTATTTGGAGAGCACCCGTGGAAAGGAAGTCACAAACAAATTATTTGATGAAATTCACTGGATAATTGTGCAGTCACTGAAGGCTGTTGCGGTGAGTATATTCCTGGAATGCTGCCAGTGATAGCATTACAGCTGCAGGCTTCTCACAACCATGAAATTGGGTTTGCCATCAAAACCCCTAAAATCTATTTCCCGCTGTTTGAGTTATGACACTGATGCTGATTTCTGCAATTCTGTTATCTCTTGATTTCTCTGAGCTGAGTGAACTTGAATCTTGGGCGGGTGGGTGAGCTATCTGGGCATACTGAAGAAGTGAATGAATCTCTTTCCTTGAGGGCTCTAGGAACTATTTAATATGACTTGATACTGCCTTTGTGAGTAGTATTAAGCTCTGCCAAGGTGCATGACGTCATTTCAGCAGTAACAAATGTGTCAAAGAAAAAATAGCTCTGGAGGACAATTTGTCAAAGAAAATGTAAGGTTATTAGTTCAGCAGAATTACGTAACTTACCTGCAGCTCTTTTACACGAGTCACATGGTTATCATGACTCTTATTTAAAAAACAAAAAAGAAAAGTAGCAATCAGTCCTCTGCTTGAGTGACTTTCTAGTGTTTGGGTAATATCCCATGATTACATTAGAGAGCAGGTATCACCCCGTGGGTCAGCTGGGGTAACAGAAGAGCTCGCTGTCCTGTTCCCACTGTCCTGTGCGTGGTCCTGTCATCTCTTTTGGGTTAGTCCTGGCACCATCGTGAGCTGAATCAGCTCACTCACCCAACTGAAAATTACTATGTTGCTTTATTGATGGGTTAGTATTTTGCCAGTGTAATAAGCTGAGTCACCTCCCTGAAGGACCAGATGAACACCAGAAATGGCACGAGAAAGAGGGACGAGGTCATGAAGCTAGGATCAGTGGGAGGTGGGGAAGCATGGCTTAGCTCAGCCTCTGCTATGCAATCATATTTGAAACCAAATGTGAGAAGAAAAGGGATTTAATCCAAATGTTATCAGAAATTTAAAAGATAAAAGTGTTGAGAATTCTTGAGCATGAAATGTTTTGGGCCTCTGCCTTTCTGACAATGGTAAATGTAATGAGAGATGCTTGTTCCTTCTGTCCCCTTTCACTCCCTGAAGAACTGAAAAGCTTCATTATTAGTCTAGGGGAAAACATCTCACTAACTCGTTACAAAGGTTTTTTTAAAAGATCCAATGATATTTGCATAGAAGAAAAGTCTTACCGCACATAGTGCAAATGTTTAGCAGATGCTGAAAAACTACTGATTCTCTAGAGAATGTGTATCTGAGTGCAACTTAGTCCTTGGTCTCTCTTAGCTTTTGGGATCATAGTTAGCTTGAGATAATTATAATTTAAAAATGTATCTGGTAATTGCTTGGCCTCAAATTTCTGCATAGTTACAGCAGCATAATAAAAGAAATGTCTTTAAGTCTCCTTTTTCTGAAGTTTAAAGAATTCACAATTATGTGAAGCTCCATTATATAAATTTTAAAACTTTCTGCTTTCTCCTGATGCACGCAGGCTTTAAATATTTCTATTACTTCTGCAAAATATGAAAATACTTCTATTTTCAAGCTGGAAACATAATGTAAAATTAATCTAACTTAGTACTTGGCATTAATGGAATAGTTGATATTGCAATATTTACTTACAGCTTGGAAAAAGTACTGAACTTACTAGCTAGCAAGCTTATGTTAGAGTTAAAACACTGAAAGCTGTTGTAGAAGATTCATAATGTAATCGCATGTGATTTCTATCAAATCAAATGTGTAAGCAGATTACTTACTAAATTGTTGATTTTAATACTTTTTTTTTTTTTAGCCTGTAATGAATAATGATAAACACTGCTTTGAGTGTTATGGATATGATATTATCATTGATGACAAGCTTAAACCATGGCTAATTGAGGTAAAGTTGCATAAAATACAGGAAAAAACTTCCTCCTCATTTCGCAGAATAAAACTAAGTAGATTTCAAAGTAGTCTTTCCTCTTTTGAAACAATATATTTTGTTCCTCTAAGGAAAACATTGGAAAGTAAAATAGGCCATGTGATGACCAAGCTAGCATGTGCTTTTGCTTCCTATTTGTTTGGTGTTTCTATTTGTTTGTGGTTTTCTGTTTTGTCTTTTAAATCCAGAGCATCCATACAATTGGACTTCAGAGGTAGTCTGAATGTTAGCAGACCTATTAGATACTGTATCAGTAGCTGGAAAATAAGCATTGGCTCGATGGAGCATAACATCGAACTTAAGTTTTATATGCTGCCATGGCCTTAACGTTGCAGGTTGGGAGGAAAGATGAGTGTCACACATAGGATAATTGGGATATTTGGAAGGCTTTTTTTTTTTACATAAATTTCTCTTTAGTTTATTAACTTTGCATCTGTATGTTCAACATAAATTTTATCCAGCCCTTTTCCTTCTCAATCTAGTTGGAACTGAAAGATCAAAGGAAAATGGACTTTATGAAAAAAGAATAGTATCTATTTATTGTTCTGATACCACTTCTCCATAATAAATGTGGAACACAAGATATATGTTAAATGAACCCCAGTTTTAATTAAAACAAGATGCAATGTAGTGCTTTGAATAGGGAACACGTATGTGTTTCTCCAGCTCACAATTTAACAAGGGAGAGCTCAGATTAAGAACATAAATATATACTGTTTACCTAGAAGAAACCCACAGGTTCCTGTATATGACAGATGTTGTAGTGAACCAGGCAAATTGTAAGCACTGAAATTTATGGTTTTGGTGTCCATGTAAGCTTAGAAAATGAAACAAAAATCTTTGTTTTGTCTGATTAACCCTGATTAATCTAGTTTCAACAAAAATCTTCAGGCTGACACTGCAGACACTTAGTGGTATGGTGCTTTTGTTTTTAAGTAAAAAGAAAAATGCCCAATGGGGGATTCCTTCCAGTGTCTGAGGAACTGAAAGATGTGTTTTGAGACGCTGAGTCTTAGTTTCCCAAATAGTACGTGTTGTCATCACACATGCTGTTTGGAGAACTATATAGCACTCAAAAAGTTGATGCTGACTTTTTTTTTTCTTTTGTAGGTTAATGCTTCCCCTTCTCTTACTTCCAGTACTGCTAATGATCGCATCTTGAAGTATAATCTTATTAATGACACACTCAACATTGCTGTGCCTAATGGGGAAATTCCAGACTGTAAATGGAATAAGTCTCCACCAAAAGAGGTTCTTGGCAATTATGAAGTCTTGTAAGTTTTATCAATGTTCTATATAAATGCAAATCTTTTTCAGTCACCTCACATTTTTAATGTAGACCACAGAGATAAGGTGAACTTCATTCTGATGTGAAAAATGGATACAAAGTACTACTTCATTTTTTTCAGAGCTGCAATGACAACATTGGAGGTGGGAGTGCATTAAGCAGAATTGCCTGATCTCATCTCCAGAGGGAATGTTACTTGTCTGATAAGCCCCTGCATTCACCTTCTGAGCTTCCAGCAGCTAGATTTGAGGGACAGAGGGAAAGTACACGTGTAGAGCTTTAATTGCATTGTGATATACAGATGGTAGCTAAATAGATGTAATATCTCTTTGATACAATTTTTTTCTCAGTTGAAATGATGCCACTTGACTCCTGTAGTTCATGGATGTAATAATGAGTTGTCAAACATTTCTAAAATTCCCCAATCTGTATTACAGAGGGAGAAATGAAGGAGACAGAAATCCTGATATTGGAGTGTCTGAAGGATTTATCTAGAATTGATTGGTCTTATGCAGAAGAACACTGATTTAAATACCATGTTGATGATACAATTTCTCATATTTTTTTAGAAAATGTTCAGATAGGTTCTCTAGCAGTAGTTGTACAATTGTTTAGTATGTCAGAAATGTGATTATCTACATAGTTGATCCCACTAGTTCATGTTGATCTTAAATATTCTTTCTATATGCTAGTAAAGACAGTGAAATATGTATGTGTTGAATTATTATTTAAGTTCTAATGAATGTTATGTATGTTCAAGCTGTGAATACCTATACAATAGGTATATATTATGACTGTTAAGTATATATTATGACTGTTCTACAAAATACTGTAGTATTATCTTTTGATAATTACACTTATGCATCCATAGCCAATTTCTGCTTGGAATTTGTGTAGCAGCTGAGAAGTATATACTGAGGTTATCTGAGGCCATAATGGGCTTAGATATTTAAAGAACTACTTGTCACTGTGGTTAAGTGTTACAAAATACATGTCATCAAATGCATTTAACTTAAGCACGCCATTGTTTGTTCACTTCATTCTTTCCC